AGGCAGCTGCCCAGGAGCCAAACATGCTCTTGGTGGATGTTTTCAAATTTCCCATTTTACCTGAGATCCTTGGAAGAAGAAGGTTCTGCAGAAGGACAGAAGATGCAGAAAGGAGGTTCCAATTTTGCACTTGATGTTAATATGCTGGGTTAAACAAAATATGATTGACTCCCTGGGGAAGGATTATCATTGTATGTACTTTAGTACTTGTCCCCACAGGAAAGTTGTACAGTAACTGTACGAGTTAGGGTGTGACGTTACAGCATAACTCCTGTGAGGAGACATTTACTGCAGTGTAAAAGGGCCTTTTTTGTTTGATTTGAGTGGTGCTTAAGCTAAAGCAATCACTTCTTCTGTCCACGTGGGGAGTTCTATTGCGATAACTACATGTGCTTAATTGGCAAAACTCTGTCTAGATGAGCCTGTAGTGGCCAACCTTTTGTCTTTTGTGATAGTGGAAATAGAGTGGTTCCCCCCCCCCCCCCCATACCTTCCAAGCATCGGCCTTAGAACCTGTTTAGGATGTGTAGGGAGGGGAAGCTATTGGAACCCCTGCGGTGATGTCAGGGAGGCCCAGAAAAGAGGGAATTGTCCACTGGGTAACTCCTGGAGTATCTCCCCATTACTGAAAAGCCATTCCTTACAGCTTAGTTTTTATGGGCCAACCTCCGCTGCGTCCTGTGAGACTGCGTCACAGCCTGATCAGTCTCACTGTCAGAAGTATTATAGCAGCGTTTCTTAAACTTAAGACCAAAGAACACCAAGCAATTTTTTTATGTGGAACACAGAGTTTTTGATGGGGGGGGGGGGAACCCCATGCACCTTTTTAATTATCTTTTGAAAAGTGGAACATCTTTTTTAATCTAAGTATCCCAACCAGAACCTGTCAATCGCTATCCATTAAATAAAAAAATGTTGTCCGACAAAGAAGGAACATTGTATCTGGCCCCCCTCAGCTGTCCTGGGTAACAAGGAAGGGCTGATGGCAGTGGTGCAAAGACCGGGTCGGGGTGGCAGCTTTAGGGCAGTTCTCTCCCCTGGTAGGCAGGATCCCCAGACCAGCAGTGGAGACAGCCAATCGGAGCCAACCCTGCTACGCTCCTCCCCTCTGGCAAGGGGTGCAACCAAGGTGCGGAGCTTTCCCAGGTGGTTGCAAGCCAGGCGCAGAAGCACGTGAAGAGGAACGTGGATAGCCCTGCCTCATTTCCAGACACGCCACCGCTGTGGCACCACTCGCTCACCTCTTCCACCCTTCGCACCACCCGCTGCGTCTCAGCAGCTCTAGCGGCCGTTATTTTTCCTCAAACGGTTGCGGCACACCTGTGAGTTCTCCGTGGAACACAGTTTAAGAAACAAGGTATTATAGGCTACTGGACTTCAGAAGTGGCTTTCTCATTGGTGTGTTAGATGAAAGATTGCTTGTGGCCACATGCACACAACAAAGCTTGAGATGCCAAGTAACTTGTAACTTGGGGGGGTTATAAATTCCGTATCGCCATTGCTCACCCTCAGAGAGGCAGAACAAAGGAGGACCTGGAAATGATTGAAGATATTGCAGTTCTTTTGCTGTGGAAAGGAACTGGCTTGTTTTTCAAGACCACGTTTACTTCAGTTACATCTGGTTTTTCCTTATTCACGTTGCCAACACAGTTTGCCATATTCACGCTCTAGGCTTCTCGTGAAAGTCCGTGGGCTTTGGAGTAGGCCATTTATCTTTAGGTCAGTCCGGGTGGGATAGTAGGAGCTGTGTTCTATCATGGGGAGCTTGGGTTTGAGACGCAGGCTCGTCCTTTGCTCCTGTGCTGGTGGAGCTGGGAAGCACACAGCTCCTGTGACAGACAGCCCCTGTGACTCTGCAGCGTCAGGAGCCTTTTGGGCGCAGCTCGTCTCCCCTGGCGCGGACCTGATGGGGTGTAAAAGTACAGATTGGTGGTGGTGGTGGTGGTATATCGCCCACGCTTGGAGGAGTCCTCCACGGCAATGTGTTGTCTTTACACTTTAAATTCATAACTGCTGTCCTGGTCGTGAGAAGCTACCTGAAATGTGGATGCATAAACTAGCCTGGCATATGGTGTGTATAAATGAGACCCCAGTGCACCCACATTCAGCATGAATCTGTGAATCCAAGCTGAGGTGCTCTAGACACACCGTCTGTCTCTGCAGTATCTTCAAGGGGATGTTGAATTCATCACCAGCCCGTTGGCATCTGACCCAGGTTTTCTTTAATGTTCAGTCTTGCTGATCATTCTTCTAAAGCTGGTAAGCCGTGATGTGTGGCCTCCGTCTAAAGTAAGCCCTGGTTGACTAATCTAAGTTACTTGGGAAGTTTTATAAGAATTATCAGTGAAACAATGCCTTTGGCAAGATAAGCCCCTACTTGTTAAGCAATGACACAGCCTCCTGATTTTAACTCCCCTTATCTTTTATATTTGAGCGCTTTGCTAAGCCTTATAATTAGTTAAATCTGCTCCTATAATCAAAAGCTATCTGCACACTCCACTGCTCTGTGACGATTTCAAAGATTTAAGTGATTAACTTGGCGGAGGCAGTGGGTGGCTAATTGGATAAGCTTTAATCTTCACACCACCAAAGTGAAACAGGGTAAGATCGGAGGAAGTAGGAAGTTATGTGGTACTGTGTAGGAAGGTAGTTACCAAACATGTCAAAAAGATTATTGTAACAAGCTTACCAGTTGTCATGGCCAAAACTTGACGAAGAAGGTGGATTATTAGAAGAGAGACAGTGCCACAAATTGTTCCAAATGTGCTTGCACTAACTTTTCAAAATGGCAAATATATCTGCATTCTTCCTTGCCAGAGCAGAGAGATTTACATCCTCTTCTGACTGTACCCTGACAGTCTCAGATTAAATGCCATCACCTTTTCGTTATTGTGTGTGTCCTTTCTTTGAACTACCAAGCAGAGCTGTTTGTAAATGTCTTTAGGTTTTCTAAAGTGTGGTGCTTTTATTTTGTTGGCATCTGCAAAAATGGCAGCAGCAGTTGAGGGTGATGTGATTTATAGGGGGTACTTAGATTTCATCATTACATTTTGGGGGTTAATCCAGAATAATTTGTCATGGCTGATGTATCCCTGTGAAATAAAACTTGCTTCACAGCTATGTCATTAAATACACATACATGCCTTTGGAGACTTAAAAGCTGAAGTACAGGGATAATCCACACCACCAACCGTTTAACACGCGTGAAAGCAAGCCAGTGATTACAGCCATAAACCAGTCTGGTTTCTGCTCTGCAGGACTTAGTTCCCAGAATGGTCAGTACTGTGAAGTATCACAAAACCGAATAAGCACGTCTTAGTCCTGGATGAGCAGGATTCATTATCGAATTCTGGCAAATTCTTTACTGTCCACAAAAGATAGTGAGCTAAATACTGAATCTTTTTATAAGTGAGAGCAGATGTTAAGTATGTTCTCAAGTTTAATTTGGATAGAGGATGTTCTATGGAATATATAGTATGACAGATAAATGAAAAAGAATATGTGTGTGTGTACGCTTGATTTATAGGGAGCTAGGAATTCACATTGAGAAGGGATGTTAAAATATTTTACGGCAGTGGTGGTTCCATGCATAGCCAGTAGATGTCTCTAGTTGACTATGAATCCTCTTCCAGTGGCTAAACACCATTCCTGAATTTTTGATTAAATGAAGGACCTTTCTGCAAATTTCTGTGGCAGAACGCTTCACTGACACCAGACAGCTCACTTTGGTTGCTTTCTCTGATGTTTTGCTCAGTTAATTTGCTTTGTGTTTGATTTATAAAAGCCACAAAATCTGTGCAGGCATGAAAGTTTGAACTGTACATTGTTCATTTCGAAGTTGTAAAGTGTTCAAATTGAGAGCGACACTTGGAACACCTCATGAGGCTTTGGGGTGGGGATGTTGGGTAGAGTAATAGTTAGGAAATGTCCTGACTGTTTCTTCATTTTAGCTTAGTGTTCTGTTGAAGGTGCAGGAAGGGTCTCTGTTGAGGTCTTAGTTCTGCAATCTGCACACACCACAGTCGCTTCTGATTTAAACTGTGATTTTTGGGTGCAGAAGGACTGCAAACTGTACCATGTACGTCGTTCATATCATTCAACCAGTGTGTGGTTGGAAGTGGGGGATCTCGAAATCCATCGTCATTGAGAACATATTTAAGTGGAGATACTTTTCGGTATTTTACTGCCTGAATATATATAGCTTAACCAAAAAGGCACCCTACAAAATTGATTTCCATTGTAACCAGGGAAAAACCCGTAATGCTACAGCTAAGTGTTATTAGTCATTCTTTTTCTTTGGGCTGTGCCCACGAAAACTCATGATACCATCTACATGTTTTGTTAGTCTAGAAAGTGCTATCAGACCATTTGTTGTCTTATTCCAAATAAGTGTGGGATTCTGACTTCTTGAGTCCACGTTCTTCAAATCAAAAAATGCAGAGAAGTAACTGACGTCCTTCTCCACCGTTGCTTTTTTGAAATGCTGAAAGTTAGCATCCGTTCTTCAGAGTTCAGGGAATTAGTATACTTGTCTAATTGTACTAGTTGGACTAGTGGACTGAGCCATTGTAGTGTTAGGGGTATACATACCATTAGTAGCACTTGAGTCTTAAAACTCTGCAATTTGATTGAAAAATAAAAATATTTATTCTTTATGTGAAAAAGGGAATAGATAAATCTATATTTCATTATGTAACAGTAGTCCAAGAATTATGTTTTGTCCTTATTATCAGTGTAGCTAAATGCATATACAGTAATACTCAGTGTCCTATAGATACATGGTGACATAACTGCTAGAAAATCATAATCTCGGCTCCATTTTCTTCAGGAGCTGTAATAGCTCAGAAATTGTTCTCTGGCTAGTGTATTTAGGGGAATTGCACACAGCATGGCAAGTGCATGTCTTGCAGCTGTGTAATTGCAAGCCAGTTGCTTGGGAAACAAACTGTAAAGGAAAGAGGTTTTATTTAGAGGAATTATTTAAATTTTTTTTTTTCCAGATCTAGCCTAATGGCAGGAGGGATGACCCGAGGTGTGATCAACCCATGGCTACTGGAAGAGACAGAAGAAACCAGTAGGCTTGGTTTTGATGAGCTCAAGCAGCATCAACAGAGAATCATTCAAGGTATAAGCCTCTCTTTATTTTTTATGTAATCTGGGTTAGATCTTAGAGTATTAAAAATCCATTGTAATTTTGACTAGATATTTTGTGTGATCTCAGAAGCTTAGTCTCAGAGGGATAGTTTTGGGTTTCTTGCTCCAAAATCCTGGTGTTCTGTGGCAAAAAAACTTTCTTGCATTGGCCTTCCCCTTCAACCACTGCTACTTTCACATGGTTTTATAAGAATTTCAGGTTAAGTCAATGAGAGCAAAATATGACTTGATAGTGTCCTCTTAAAACCAGCTTCTTCTCCACTTGCCCAGCCAAGCAATCTATTTTTCATACATATTTTCATGGAGGTAAATGGTGAGGAGGGTTGGTCTGGGCATGACATGTTTGCAAGGTTTCTTTGAAGTCAGACACATTACCCTGAGATTGCTTGTGTACATGTTGTAGGCTGTGGTATGTGTGTGCATCATAACCTAACAGTCCCAAAGGGCAAAGTTGAGTGTAGCTGCAGTGGGAGAAGAGTTGTGTTGTAACATCAGCTGTTCAGCAAGTAACAGTTGGGTACAACGTGATTGGGTCCTGATTTAGGCAAGGTATTTTAGCACTTGTTTATCTTTCTGCATGTCAATAGCAGTGTTCCCTGTGAGCTGAGCACTTGGGCTACTAGCCAGGAGAGAGATTCAGGTACCACTCAGCGGATTAGCAGAGTGCCCACAGACACCCACAGTCGGTAGCATGTGTTTCTACTGGTAGTGCACATCTGCACTTAGTGCACATAACAAAATTTATGCTGCACCTGGATGGAAAAAATTAGTGGGAACATTGGTCACTACTCCCATTGATTCCACTAAAGCCCCTGCTACTACATAGACTTCAGTGCAGGGTGGCCTCCCCCATGGCTGAGGGTTCATTTTGTTCTTCCCTGTCCTAACCGGTGCTCTCTGCTCTCTCACGCCCCATGACAGCGTGGCTACAGAGGGCTCCCTGTGCTGCTGCAGGATCCAGGCAGGAACAACGTGGCCGCCTGTGCTGCTGCTGCCTCCTCACGCTTCTGGCTTAGCTGTATTTTATTTGTATTGACTACACGATTAGTTAGATAACCTCAATATAACGTCCTTAGTTGAGAATGGTCAGTGTTGAGGTAGGGGAGTTTTATTTGAATCGCCACACGAACTGTGGAGTTACAGGGCAGGAGAATTGCATCTGCTCTCTTTTGGCTTCAAACGCTGCTAACATGGTGGGTATTGAGTGTATCCGTGTGCGCGCACCTATGTGGGGACGCACGGGGTCGGGAGAGCTTGTGTGGTAGGGGCAGTGTTCGGTGGTCAGCACTCTAGGAGGGGCACAGACTCTGGATGTGCACATCAACGTTTTGCCTTCTGATTCTCCGGCTGCAGCTTAGCCCACGTCTGGCTCTGGGTGCAGCCTCGCGCCGGTGAGTGCTTTTGCCTTTCGGCACGTGGTTAACCACAGCAGCTCTTACTTGCAGCATCTTTTAGAATGCCACTTGTGGGCCTGCTGTGTCTCAAGAGCTGCAGCTCCCAACTGAGGTGCATTTCCAGGGCTGCATGGGGCCCACACACAGGGCTTGGTGTGTGCCAGCGGCAGGGATGGAGGAGTTTTGACACAGCTGTGTGGGGAAATTTTACATTGAGGCTGCCCTCTTTGTATCCGACTCTGTTAATGCTCTCGATCGCTCTCTTCCACACATGCTGTGTTCTCTCTCTGCTTGAAAAAAACCCATTTGAATTCCTTGATGCTTGCATCGCCTGTTTGTCTTTTAGTCATTTAAACCCTCCTTGGAAAATGGAAAAGGGCAATCAGGGGCCTAGAGATGTGGGCCAGAAATTCCAGAGCAGTTCTGATTGACTAACAGCTGCATGTTGAGTTTCTGGAGTTTTTGGGACTCTTGGCTGAATATTCTGACCAGAGCAGACAAATTAATTGCTCATCATTCGCATTATTTTTATGATTGAAAAATGCTGCTGCAGTAGGAGTTCATTGTCATGCTGGGGATGTCTCTTTGTTAATGTAGCTTAACTCTCTGTATACACACAGCAGAGATTTTCCCTCTTGTCCGCCTTCTGGCGTCGATTAGCACTCTGGCTGAGCTCGGATCCTCTCCAGGATGTAGAAATGGCATGTCAGCAGTGGGGTTTATGTATTTTATTTTCTTGTTTCTGTGCAGAGCAAGATGCTGGGCTCGATGCGCTCGCCTCAGTCTTATCAAGGCAAAAACAAATGGGGCAGGAAATCGGGAATGAGCTGGAGGAACAGAATGGTAAGAACAGCGAACGTTAATTTAATACGCTAAAAAACCACACGTTTTGTCCCCTTTCTCACGTTTATTGTAGGCCCTGCAGAAAATGCACAGCATGCTGCTGCTAGCCAAACAGTGGCAAGGCAATACTGGAAAGGGTTTTGTATCAATAACTGCTTCCTTAGTGGCCATGAATACTCTAAAGCAGGGGTCTCCAAACTTTTCAGCCCGCATTAACTATCAAACAGCAGTTCGGGGGCCGACTACACACTTGAGGGCCAAATAAAAAACAATCAAAACATGGATGTTGTTTTTAATTATTTATTTAATATTATTTTATTCAGTTATTATTTAATAACACATTGATACACTACACATGAACACCTGTATTAGTGTGAATGGTGAAATTGTTTCCTGGATGCCAAAATAGCAGACATTTCTGGCTTTAGATTTGTTGTCCCTAACATCAACAGTGACCTGAGATTATCATCGGACAAGTTTGTTCTCAAATTGTTCTTCACGTATTTCATTCTTGAAAATGTTTGTTCACACAGGTATGTTGTTCCAAAGATTGAAAGGTACCTTGATGCAAAAGTTTTGACATTAGGAAAGTCTTCCTTGGGCAAAAACTGGTAAAAACCCACCAGTCCTATTTTGAACTTGTCCCTAAGGAGGTCATTTGCTTGCAACTCAATGACTTCCAGCTGCAGTTCATCTGGGCAACTGGCCACATCTGCTTCAAATGGGTTTTGAAACAATCTCACTTCTTCTGCCTTTGAATCCAAAAAGGTCTCCACGGGCCGGATGAGAGGCAAAGAATTAACTAGTGGGGTTACTTGAAAAGAGATGTGTGTGTCTTGGCATGTATGATTAACAGCAGCATCTTGTGTGTGATGGTAGCCATGGGTGAATAATTTAACTTTTAGTTGTTTTGTATTTGCTTTTGGATCCCATTAGGATTCTTCCTTTCTTGGTCTCATTAAGAACCCTTTGGTTGCCAATTAAATGGGAATGTCTGGCCAGAGATTAGAGAACAGGCATTGTGTTGTGTACAAGTAATTTGGATTTTGAGGATTTTACTAAATCGAAGGGAGGATCAAATTAAGTGAAGTATGGGGGTCTGATATTTATCTTCTCTTTAGATTCTGGTGTATAACTGTTAGCCCCTTGGATCTGGGACCATCTCTTTGTTCGGGGTTCGTACAGCACTTAACAGGAGCCCTGGTCTATGATTTGGACTACTGGGCACCAGGTGTAACAAATAGTAATCTGCTGTTTAAAGAGGCTACATCATCAATTTACTTGTCCAAAGGACACAAATTGACTCCCTAGAAAGCAAATCTTTTGGTTTCCCTCATTCCTCACAATATAGTAATGGCTGAGTTAAAACTTTGAAGATACTGCCAGTTTTGTCTGGCATGAAGATTTGATCCCCGTGATCTATTATTGGTTAATATTGTATCTAACCACTGAGAAAGCAAAGACCCCTTTACTTGCCAATTAACTGCGTACTTCAGTCTGCTTCCTCCTTGAATCTGTATCCTTCCCTATATTTTGTTAGACATGATATTGAGTATTTCCTATTAATGATTAGACCATATAAATCACAATTGGGTAGCCTCCATCTCACTTCCTGAGTAGGCATAGTAGCTTTCCCATGCTGCTGGTCTCTCTGACCAAACCAGGGGTTTGTATCCATTGTTCTGAATATCTTGCTATTTACTCATCCTCCATATTAGGAAATAGCCTTATGCAAACAGAGAAATTAGGAAAAGATGCTCAGCATAATTGTCCCCTCTGTCGCTATGTAACTAAAGAACATTTCAATTAAATAGCTAATAAGTCGTTTTAAATTCTCCATCTTTTTAAAAAAAATACAGACCAAAACCACTTTACTGTATTTACCTGTATTCAAGTAACAGACTCCTGAAGAGAAGCTACTTTTCCGATTCTAAATGAAACATCAGTCTTTGACATCTTGCAACCGGGGACACGAGTTGTCTTCTCTTTACATTTGTTATAAAGGTGAACAGGTCTTCAAAACTCTCCTGTGTCTGTTCTCTCGTGTGCGGCTTTGGGGCTCTGTACGTTGGTAACAGTAAGTGTACCCTGTTTTTAGTATAGAGCTCTTTCTAAACAATGAAGACTCAAAACACTTCATTGAAATAGGCAGGTTATGTAAATTGGGAAACTGAGGCACATTGGTTTGTCTTGGGAAACTGAGGCACATTGGTTTGTCTTGTTCTAGCTTCTGCCAGTAAGAGTAGAGTTGAATCCCGGGAGTCCTGACTCACCTGACTCACCATCCCTTCCTCCAGCTACTGGACATCGCTCCTTCAAATGTCAAGTCAGAATGACAAGCGTTGCTCAAGAGTTGCATGTGACAAATGGCGACCGTCGCTCACTTGTAGCTAGGCATCTAGGAGATTGGACGAGGTTCCATGTTTGAAAGGAGAATGCTAAAACTGCCTCTCAGTCCCTGTTCATTGGTATCTTGGAATCCTCAGGATACCCTGGGATTTATATAGCATACTTTAACTGTAGATTTCAAAACGCTTTGCAAAAGTGGGGTAGTTGAGGCACTGAACAAGTAATTTAGCTTGTCTCTGCCCCACAGTGAATCATGGCAAAGCTAGACTCTCGTGCTTTATTTTCTACTTTGGTTCTTCCCAGGATATGGAGCAAAGTAGCTGGCCATTCCATGCTGCTGGCCCACTGGGAGAGCAGAAATCCCTTGCCTGTGTTGTCCAGTGGCTTCCTTCCCTTCTACACGTTGTATGTAACTCTCAATAGACTCTTCTCCGGTGCTTTGCTGGTGTTTGGTCACCTATTATACAGTTAAAATGGACAAATATAATTGCCCTGTAATCTTCACAGTATTCAGAATCCTTTCCTTCTTGAGGCTGAGTAGCGATGGCATCATACATACTTTGGTGAGACATCTTCAAAGCTAAATCAATATTTTTGTACTAGAGTCAAAATTTTTGTCAAACTATACACTTCTGTGGGCAGCTCGTTTTCCGGATCGCTAAGCTAGTCTGTTTTGGGAGTTCCTGCCTCCTAGAACTAGGCTGAGGTCTGTTCCTCACTTGTAAATGAGTTGGAATTAAATATTTAGTGATTAAAACTTCATCTGCCTTATAATTGATCTAACTTCTTACATTCATACTGACCCACCTCTCTGAATGTTGTTGGTTAACCATTTCCCATGCAACCTAGGTTTATGGGCAAGCCACTGTTGCTAACTGCTCTCTACTAGCAGCAGTTCAGACGGGGGAGGAAGAAGATGGACAGAATAGGTAATCATAAATTGATCCTTCCCCTGTTACTCATTCCAGCTTTTGACAAACAGAAGCTAGGGATGCCATTCCTACCCATCCTGGCTAATAGCCTATCTTCCATGAATTTATCTTGTCCTTTTTAGAACTCTGTTAAAGGCATAGTCATCACACCATCCTCTGGCAAGGAGTTCCACAAGTTGACTCTGCGCTGTGTGAAGAAAAACTTCCTTTTGTTTTAAATCTATCTATTAATTTCATGTGGTGATCTCTAGTTCTTATGTTACAGGGACAAATAAAGAACTTTTCCTTAATCACTTTTTCTACCCTAGTCATGATTTTATAGACCTCTATCATATCCCCCCTTAATCTCTTCTTTTTTTTTAAGATGAAAAGTTTCATCATTCCTTACTCAAGTACTGTGGTATTCTGTGTTCTAGAAATAGGGTGCCTAAATGTTTGCCAGCTGGACTGTATCCCTGCTTTAGATGTGCTTGGACATTCAATGTGTGTGTGTTATTTTGTGTGACGCTGTTGTGAAGAGCAAAGCGGAAATAATACCAAGAGTTGCTGCTGTTCAGAGAATGGACCTAGGAGTCTGGTCACCTTGATTAGTAATGAGAGGTCTAGGGGATAAGTGACGAGGATTCCCATTGTTACTTCTAAATCTGACCTCAGAAGCATTTCTGCACATCATTTATCGCCAGGCTTCTGACTGCTAACCGAGGTGATCAGATGAAGACCCTTTTGATGAGGCAATGAAAGTGCATTAATTTTGGGGAATGCTTTCAGAAACTCTGACTTTCAAATGCTTTCAAACCCTCCGAGATTTGTTACTTTTCACAGTCAGATACTCATGTGAGGGGATAGTACTGGAAATACATTATTTAAAGTGGACATAGGAGTAATCTGTGTTTGCAGCTAATGTTTTTGTTTGTTATGAGAATTTTCTGAATGCTGTGTACAGTTTATGACTAGCCAGTATGTTAACTAAAATGTTTCCAAGGATCTTTTCTGAAGTAATTGATCTGTCTGAAGTTAACCTTCAGTTATGCAAAGGTGTCCTCCGTTAAGACATTTTATGGGTCAAATTTCCAAAAGGAAAAAGCTTGGAAGTTGAGAGTTTAGTGTCTTGTAAATATTAAATTTGCCCCCGTGTGCCATCCATGTGACAAACGGACAAATTCTCTACCAGTGCAAATACAGGGGCTTCAGTACAGCTATGCTAACAGACAATTTGGCCCAGAATTCTGCTTGTCTACCACAATTACTGCCCTTGTTTATCATCTCCCATTTTATCAATAGTAGAGAAAATGTTGTAATTGGAACTTCAACAATGTTGCTGAGCCATACAGTGAAAGGGAGTAAACCGTACCAGAACACACACCGTGAATCCTCAGCTGGATGGTTCAGCCGTGCTGATCGAGAACGGGTTAATTTTTTCCTCTTGATCACCAGTTTAGATTCAGGTTTATTAGTAGCAGAAGCCATTCCCATTTTAGGTGCACATGACACAGATCAGTCTTGCGCTACAAGCTCCCAGCTGATACTAATTAACCATCACTCTGACCCTGAGGCTTGGCTGGGAGTTGAGTGATGAGGTGGTCATTTGCATTCTTTGTTGACTTAGCTTGGTAGGACAGTGTGGAGAAAAGTCCCTGCTGCTGCCTCTCCTGTACCGTTCTGTCGACACAAAGGATGGCATGTGGCATCCTGAGGTTTGTCGGCCCAGCACTTTCCACT